GGCCTCCACTGGGGTCCCCTTCCCCGGCAGGGGCTGGTCCTGCTTGATGCTGCGAGCTGCTGGGACCGTGTCGCTGTGCTGGACCCGCCTGGCCAGAGTCCTGCTGCCTGAGGACCGCTTGTGGTGGTACACCAGGATGTAGTCTACCTTCCGCTTGCCGTCCCGGAAGTACAGGCCATACTTGCACTCGGCGTCAGGATCCACCGACAAAGAGTTCAGCAACTGAGGGGGAAGAAAGGGAAACCCACCCATTATCAAGCTGCTGGTGATGGGGCTTTAAAAGGGAACAATTTTCAAATGGAATTATCTCATTCATTCATCCATCCACCCACCCACCCATCCATCCATCCATCCATCCATCCAACTATCCACCCACCCATCCATTCATCTTCCTTTCCTTCCTTCCTTCCAGCCACCCATCATTTAACCATCCATCCACTCATGCACTCACTTATTATTCATTCACTCATTCATTCATTTGCTCACTCACTGAATCACTTGTTCATTCACTCATTCATTCACCCACTCATTCATCCGCTCATTCATTCAACAAATACTTACTGAATGCCTGCTATGAGCCAGGCACTGTCCTAGGAACTGAGATATAGCCAAGGACACAGCAGATAGGCCCTGCTTTCATGGAGCTGACATTCTGGAAGGAGACATCGGCTGCTAATCAGGCATGATCACCTGGAAGTCCTCCCCTTTCTACAGGGGCACAGCAAGCTGGAGGTGAGGGCCCTGGGTGCTTGCGAAAGGTGATCGTAAAAGCTGCAAAGTACCAACCACCTAGGGAGGGTTTTTCCTGCACAGCAACAGGGTCTCAGGCGGAGAAGAGCAAGCTGAAGTCCTGCCGTGCGAACCGCCACCACTTCTGGCCAGCGCCCGAAGCTCTGCCATTTCATGGTGACCACAGGGTCTGCAACCACGCAGCCTGGCCCAATTCTGGTTCCAGTTCTGCCACTGACTAGCTGTGTGGTCAGAAGTTAGGCTCTCAACGTCCTCACTGGGTCCTCCCAAAGCTGCAAAGCTGACCCCAAGCAGAGAGCCCGGGCGCAGGTGGTCCAGGTTGGGGGGCAGTGAGCGCAAGGGGAGGGAGAAGGAAGGGCATGCCAGGAGGTGGGGCAGCAGGCCCCCTCCTGCTGGGACTCTCTGAGGCCAGGGAGGAGCAGGGCTTGGAGCTATGAGTCAAGGGAAGGGAGCTGAGGCAGTTATCCACCGCCGGGGCCGCTCCGGGGGTATGAATGCCCCACCCTTCTGACCTGCCTTCACTTAGCTCCCTGACCCATGCTCCTGCACCACAGGATGCCCTTGGCGAGCCTAGGGCACAGGCCCTGTGGGGTCTGCTACAAGTAGCTCACACTGCCTCGGTTGCCTTATTTGCTTGAAGGACCGCAGGGCCACATGAGATACAGCGGTGGACCTGAGGTTTAGAAAGTGAGATGTCCACACAATTGCAAAGTGGGACAGCTGCTGCTACTGCCAAAGGTGAACTAGGACTCTGTGAGATTTTGCTGGTTATAGGGGCAGATAGGTTAATCAACCAGTGGGTC